GTGGACAGGTGGAGGCTTTGATGGGACAGGTGGAGGCCTAGGTGGGATAGGTGGAGGCCTGGGTAGCACAGGTGGAGGCCTAGGTGGGACAGGTGGAGACCTAGGTGACACAGGTGGAGGCCTGGGTGACACAGGTAGAGGCCTAGGTGGGACGGGTGGCATCCTAGGTGACACAGGTGGAGGCCTGGGTGGGGCAGGTGGAGGCGGGAGTGCTCGCAGAAGTACTCACGTAACCGCAGGCCCGGCAGTGGTGGCGGCGGCGCGTCAGGGCGTTGAAGGGCTCCTGGCAGCGCATGCACATGGTCACCATCTTGTCCCGGACCCACTGCGGTGCCCGGAGGCCCAGCTCCTCAGACTGCAGCTGTGGGTTAAGGCTGATGGTGACCCTCTTTGTCCATCCTCCAAGGACCTGGGGCCCTGTGCCCACTTGCTGTGGCAGGGATTCTGTGTGTTGGGCTTCCCTGGGGCTTCTGCAGGAAGCTGACTGACCTGATCGAGACCTTCTGATAGGATAGTTACTATCATTCCTAACATATAGGCGAGGAAGCAGGCCCAGAGAGGTCAAGTGACTCGGCAGGCTGGAGTTGAGCTCAGATCTGAACTCACACTGCAGACGTCCTCCCCAGCCCCTACCGCACTCTCCTTCCATCTTCCCCAAGACTTTACATTTCGCAGATACTTTGAAACCCAAAACACTACTGCCCCCTGCAGCTGGAACTGCAGAGAGGTGAAGCCCTTCCCCGTGACAGCTGTGCTAACCGGAATGCTCAGGCACAGAGTTGGGGGATGCACTGAGAGGGCTTCCCCAGGTCCCTTCAGTCTCTCCTGGCAGGTGACCCTCCCCATCCCTCCCAGCTGGTACAGGTAGAATATAGGGAACAAACTCTGTTTGGGCTGGTGGCCCCAGCAAGGGATGAAGAAGGCTTCATTTACCTCCTGTTCCTGCGTGTCTCCCTCAGGCCCCTGGGCAGCAGCCTTGAAGGTTTCATTCCGCTTCTCGATTTGGTCAATGGCTGCTTGGAAGGCCTGGGTGCAGGGAGGACAAGGGTTGGGGGCTTGAGGAATGGGAGGGAGGGGCTGCTCCTCTGTCCATCCATCCACACATGCAACAGACAGGGCTGAAAGCCCACTGAGTGCCGGGCACTGGATTCTTCACACACACAGGCTGCCTTAGGGGAGGAGAAACTACCAGCCCCAGATTACACGTGTAAAAACTGAGGCTCAGAGAGGGTAAGTGACTGGCCCTGGACTGCCCAGCTAGGCAGTGAGAAGCAGCAAGATAGGAACCCAGATCCATCTCCAAACTGCCACAGACCAACTCCTTAGGAAGAGCAGGAAGCTGCTGGGCACATGCAGGTGTGGGAGTGTGCACACACACACACACAGAGACACATACATACATGCGTGCACACACATGAATACACACAAGCACAGACACACAAACACATGTACACACATCCAGGCACACACACAAGCACACATACACACAGACATGCACGCACAGATGCATACACATGCATGCACGCAAACACACACACACAGACACAAACACACAGACATGCACACACAGATGCACACACATGCATACACACATGAACACACACACACACGCACACACACACGAGCATTCCTCCCCCCCCACCCCCCTGGCACACACACACCACTTCCTCCCCTTCAGCCCCAATAGGCTAGGGTCAGAATCCCAGGAGCTTCAGCATGATAGCCCATTAATTCTTTTCTTTTTATTTATTTATTTATTTTTAAAGACGGGGTTTCACCATGTTGATCAGGCTGGTCATGAACTCCCGACCTCAGGTGATCCCCCGCCTTGGCCTCCAAAGTGCTTGGATTACAGGCGTGAGCCACTGGATAGCCCATTAATTCAAAACAGAAAAAAAGAAAAAAGACTCCTGGAAGCCCTGGAGCGTTCCCATACCTGCATCCAGGAAATCATTTCCTCCTGGGACCTGCTCGGAAAGTGAACACAGGTGTTGAGGAGAGCAGCCCCTCCCAGTTTTCCCGCCTGGCCCGGCCGCCGCCCCAGCCCCTTTACCGGGCTTGCAGCTCCAGGGTGCGCTGCTTCCCGGACACCAGGAAGGAGTGGGGGAACTCAGCATCCATCAGCTCCCGCACCTGCAACAGGAGGGAGGCAACCAGTTCAGACTTGTCATACCCCAGGTCCCAGGCGCAGCACTGTGGAGTGGAGGGAGGTAGATTGTGCCCAAAAGATAATTCAAATTTGACGGACAGGGACGCAGAGCTTGTCCGCTACCTTCCTAATCCTGTTGAGCACAGCAAATGCTCCTGCAACTGGGCCTCGCTCCGAGCAAGTGGGACCTACAGCTCCTGCAATGTCAGCAGCCGCTAAGTTGACCCAGTGTGAGGGGGAGATGACAATTTTTGACAACGGATTCAACAAAAAGGGAAATTGGATTTCAAACCTGGATGAGTATATGAGGGTTCATCGTACCATTTTCTTGGCTTTAAATTTTCCATAATAAAACATTAAGGAAAATAATATTGGCTGGGTGCAGTGGCTCATGCCTGTAATCCCAGCATTTTGGGAGGTCAAGGCGGGTGGATCACTTGAAGCCAGGAGTTTGAGACCAGCCTGGGCAATATGAGCCATCTCTTCTAAAAATACAAAAATTAGCTGGACATGGTGCACATGCCTGTGGTCCCAACTACTCAGGAGGCTGAGGCACAAGAATCTCTTGAACCCAGGAGGTGGAGATTGCAGTGAGCTCAGATCACGCCAGAACGCACTCCAGCCTGGGTGATAGAGGGAGACCCTGTCTCAAAAAAAAAAAAAAAAAA